GATAAAAACATTTTTAAATGATATTGGAATAAAATACAATTTAAAATGATTTTTGGAATAAAATACAATTTAAAATGAAATTGGAATAAAATGCAATGATTTAATATATAGGTAAATAAAATAAAATACACCCTTACAATCTACCCCAATCTGTCCCACATATGCTGAACTCAACCGAACCATTTTGCTCAAGTACTGTGCAGTATTAAATGTTGTTTTCAAGTTCTGGCTGCATATAACAGGGGTGTCAAACTCGTGGCATCACGTGACGTGTTGGTTCTTTTTCCCCCCCTTGCTAAACCAGGTGGGGGCGGGGCCAGCATGTGACACATCCAGCCCGCGGGCCACGAGTTTGATACCCCTGGCATATAAGATAAGTTGTTTTAATATAGGGTTCCCAATGAGTCATGTGTTTAGTATGTGGACCAAGGTACCTGTCTTTCACCCTCTTATACAGACAACAATCAAATAGGATGTGAGCCAGATCTTCTACCTCTCTGTTGCTCCGCAAATGCAGAGACGTCCATTATAGAGTATAGAATGGAATCTTAGCAAGAGAAATTTTGGGTTCGATTGTGGTCATAAGTCAAGGACTACCTGTAACATCATCAGTGCCAGAGGAGATTTGGGTTTGTTCTCATTTTATATTCTAGTGGCTTGCCCTGTCAGTGTTAGTGGGAGTGGTCTTGGTGATTTCTTGATTAGGCTCTTGTTTATTGCTAGCTTGTTTCTCTGAGTTGGTACATGAGAATTTGCTGCTTTCCATGTCAAACACCAACAATCAGCTGCTTCACCTCTTCTTTATTTTTTTTTGTTTGTTTTTTATCCATCCAATTTATGTAGCTGCCCATCTCAAGGAGTGACCTGCGGCCCACAGAATTAAAATAGAACAAAAACAATAACGAACACTAAAAGAATTAAAAATACCAGCAGCTGAGAAATAGGAACCCTAGTTAGAACTTTCCAGAAAAATGTTTTTTAGCAAGTTTTATTTTTAAAAAAGGGGTATATACGGATAGACGATTTAGTTGAGTAAAATAAAAATCCATTTTGTGGAAAAGTGGCCCAAGAGCAATCCAGAATAAGTGCATGATTTAGAAATGTACACTGAGTTTCAGTAATACAAATTATAACCATCTGTGCTCATCACATTTTTTTGTTCCATAGCCAGGTTTTCTCTTTGCACCCATTTGTATTTTTCTCTGCCGTGCTGTTCTACATTTAGCATTGAAACTTTCCAGCTATTAGCATCCTATTCCTTTTCTAATATTCACCTTGTACTATGGGCAGTTTCTGCTGCAGTTGCTCTGGTGTTCTTAACAATAGGGTGATATACTGAAATCTAGGATGCAATCTCTAATCCCTAGATTATATTCCTTACAAGGACTGGCAATTCATTAACAGGTTTAACTTGCCAGGGGCAAATTATAATTGGTGCTTGATTTATTCTTATCAGTGCGGACTGGCGACATTCAAGTAGTTGAGGAGGGCTCTCCAGAATGAAATTATATCTTGATAGCTTAATACACCATATGCCAGCATTGAATCAGTTGTTTCTTTTAGGAAAAAAAGTGAATGAAATGATTAAAGAAAAGAAGGGCTATAGAACTTTATGACTGGAGAAAAAAAATGTCGGTGTTTATTCTTTCAAAGAGCTAAATAGTGGGATATATTAGATGTTGTTATTAATAATAACTAAAGCTATTCATACAATAATGTTAGGAGTTCAAGAGCTATGAAGTAGATGGAAGATGGTGTTGCTATGTAGGGGCACTCAAAATCCACGCTAATTAGAAATTTATTTATTTAACAAATTTAGAATGTCACACATCTCACCGAAGGCAATTCTGGACAGTGCACAACATAAATACTTGATTAGTTGTATTTTCTATGAATGCAGGTAGCAACCAATTTAGTCATATTTACTTCTGAAGAAGATGCTAATGTGAATTAAAAGTTTAAATTATAATTAGTGACTTGGCAACTCCAGAAATTTTAGAAGTTCACTGAGGCATCATTGCTGATGTGGAACATTCTCCCACTAAGATTGCTTTAAATTTCCTTTTAAAAATATATTTTTCGTGTGCCCTGACAATAGCCAGTACATACCTGATCATGAAGATGGATCAGTAATATGTAGTGTTATTCATTGGTGTCTTCCAGGCTGCATCAAAGTTATAAACATGTCAGTGGGAACTTTGTGGCAGAAGTTGTATCATTTCTCTTCTTAATTTTTGCACAAGCTACTTGCATCTTTCGCTTGGTATCATTTAAAAGGAAGTATCTTTTATGAGACTCTGTTAGAAAATAAAAACAATTAAGTGGGCAGTGTTGTCACATGTTTATGAAACAATCATGCACAATGCTGAAGGTATGCTGAAGGAAACAAAAGGCAATTATTCTCACACTTCTAATGAATGTTTACCCCATTCTCCATTACAGTTCCAAAACAATACAGAAAATTAGGAACCCAAACAGGTATCTTTTGTGAAATCTTCTACAATGACTTAAACGCAAAATTTGGGTGAATAGTGAGTTGGATTGTTTGTAACCTGGAGGAATAGAGATAGCCCAGGTTTACCTGGTAAGATATCATAGAGTTGGTCCTTGACTTATGACTACAATTGAGCTCAGAATTGATGTTGCTAAGTGAGAAATGTGTTAAATGAGTTGTGAGCCATTTTACAACATTTCTTGCCACATTTGTTAAGTGAATCACTGCAGTCGTTAAATTAGTAACACGGTTGTTAAGTGAATCTGGCTTCCCCATTGACTTTGCTTGTCAGAAAGTCGCAAAAGGGGATCACTTGAAATCTAGGAAACTGTCATTAACATGAACCAGTTGTCTAGCATCCAAATACAAATCATGTGATGGATGCTGCAATGATCATAAATGTGAAAAATAGTCATACGTCACTTTTTTTAGTGCCACTGTAACTTCAAACAGTCGCTAAACTAACTGTTGTAAGTCAAGGACTACCTGTAATCAGGTTCTCTGGGTTTAGAAGATCAATACCAATGTATCAATCAGGTTCTTGAAGATGTTTGCCTGTAGCAAGGCTTCCTTAGCACAAGGGTTCAGAGGTGGGATATGGAAAAATATGTAATGCCTATAAAATGATTCAGATCATTTCGGAAATTTTTAAAACATAGTTCGTCAAAAATGCAATGTTGAGCTGTACATACCACAGTAGCTAAAATGGAATAGAAGGAAGACATCAGAAGAGCTTAGAAACACATCAATAAGAAAATAATAAAAACAAATCAATAAGAAAATTAAAAAACAAGGGGGAATCTGATTATTATGAAATGTGGAATAAATTCTATCAGTGGTTGCATAGCGGCAAGGTCAAAACACAAGTAGTTATGATGATTAGAATAATTAGTAAACAATGTATCAAACAAGAGGATTGTAAATGGTGAAGTAACACTTATATATGTATAACAATTGTAATGCCAGAACAGCTGCACTGTGTTGTATTGTTATAATTTAAAAAAATTTAAATGATTAAAAAAAGAAAAGAAAAAAAAAGAAAATATAAACCGTAACTACGTATTAGTGGTTATATCTTTTTATCAGATTCATATTAGAATGACTTTCTGGACGTAAAGAAAGATTTAAAGGATTCTTATAAACATAACATGGAAGGGTCATAACCTTTCTTCTACTCCTTCTACCACTATTAGTATTACCATTTTTTCCTATTACTACTACAATTATATTCAGTTTGCTCCACTCTTCTCATATATGTCATTAAGATTACCATCTGTATGTTATATCTATTTCACATTATTATATATAAAATCTTTATTTCTGGACCCTTTTATCAATTGCATTCAGATGCGTATAAAGTTCTGTGGAAATGTTTTCTCAAGGGATATTTCATTCTTCGTAGACAAAACTTTCCATAGCATCAAAGTGTGTCAGAATTTTTACTAAATTAATTCTCAAATAGGCTTGAGTCTGGCATTTGAAACAATGATTTCAGGCACCAAAACAATATTTTTTCTTTTCTTTTTCAGTCTTCTTGAAAAATATTTAAGTTATTCTTAGGTCTCGGTGTATACAGCATCACATTTCACTTCTTTCACAAAAGAGTCAAAGTGTATGATAATACATTTTAACAATTTTAAATATAAGCATGACAAATAGTATCTTTGCAACCCACTGGACAATCGCAACCACCAATCAATCGTGGGTTTTTTTTTAAATAATACTTTTGTGGATTCTTGTTGGCTATTAGTAGAATATAAAAAACAGATATACAGAATATAGGAATGGTATAAATATTTTGGAAAGGACTATAATGAAGTTATGTATCCAAACAAACCACAAATTGCTAATTTGCTTTATGCAATATGAAATAACTCCATGAAACAAAAGGAATTTCGTTCCTGCAGTAGGGAATGTGTATGTTGCTCCTTGCACATGTCAGAACTCCTAAGAGGTGAAATGGAAATTATATAAATCTTAAAGATATCGGTAACTGCCCTGTCTGGAGTTAGAATCTTTCAGTTGGTGTTCTTCCTTATTCAGTTCATAAATGCAATAAAAAAGCAACATGTTTTTCTGAGATAATTTTCCAGTGCATGTACTTTACATGTCGCAACCTGTTAGCCATCAGTACTCCTTCACAATCAAATATGTTTTGAAATATCTCCCAGGAGACTACAGCCACCAATGAAATAGTTAACTCTGAGTTGCTTCTTTACATCGCCTTTGAAAGTTCCTGGAGATCACCACAAGCTGAGTTTCCTGAAGCTAACAAAAAAAAAAGCAAGCAGTGGAAAGGTGTGCACATTTCAATTAAGAACTGTCTCCATCGTTTATCTCAGGATTATTCAATGCCAATTTTTTCTAACTCCTTTTCCAATCATATCACGCAACTGCTGTCATGTTACAATGCTGGCTTCTTTCCTGAATGCTGGAAGGATTTTCTCTGAGTATTAATGAGTAGAGTTTTGTGATCTGCACTTTATTTTTGTTTTGTTATTGGTAGAATACCTATACCAATGCAGACAAGCTACTGGAAGCAGCAGAGCAACTGGCCCAGACTGGGGAGTGTGATCCTGAAGAGATCTACAAAGCAGCACGGCATCTAGAAGTGCGGATTCAGGACTTCGTTAGGAGAGTGGAACAGAGGAAGCTTCTTTTGGATATGTCTGTCTCCTTCCATACTCATACCAAAGAGGTAAGGTGTCTGCAATGTAATAGAAATTCAGATACTGTTTGACCTATGTTTCAAGTATAGAACATAGCAAAAGGCATTCATATTGCTCAAGGCATACTAGAATAAACTTAGATTATATGAAATTAAAGTTTACAAGACTTGCCAAATTATATAAATGTTACAAGACTCCCTGTTGGAGTTGCAACATAACTGTAAATGAAAGTGGAGTCAATAGAAATGTTATCTGTTTGCCTATCTATCTGAAACTCCATAACAGAATAGCAATGTGCATGTTAACACTGATTACTGATTACTAATATTTAGTGTTCATGTGAAGTTTATATGCAATGGAGTAGACTTTTCATCTGTATTTGTAATTGGAATATCAACACCTAGCTTTCTTCTCAGAATGTTTTTTTTTTTCAAGTAGAAAGAGATAAATGAGGTGTATTTAGTTTCCTCCTCTCTTTACATTCATCATTTCATGTCCTTCACTGATCTGGAGAATCTACCAATTCTCTGAAGAAGCATAAAGGAATTGATAAACGTTGGTGTTTTGGTTTTTTTGAATGTAAATGGTCCAGGTTACATGGAAGATCATTCACATGGAGAAAAAAGATCTGCTTTATGGTTTGAGCTCTTTAAAAGACAGCAGTCACAATGCTATTATTGTTTCTTAAATTTCTTAGGTAATTGAATTTTAGTGAAGCATTCAAATTTTCTGCTTTAGTGATGATTCTAACAAGAATCAGTTAATGGAGATACTGTAGCTTTGATTTCATTCTATTCAAAGTAGGTTCTGCATATATGTCCTCTTTTGATTTTCTGTGAATTCCTCAGGACTGGGCTAAATACAAGTGAACAGTGTTCAAAATGTATGAAAATAGGAGACTTTTTCAGCAGACATAGAGGTCAGAACATTGAAACTAAGGGCCTAAGGGTATAACTAAAGCATACTCTACATTTTTCCATCTTCAAACTTCATACCATGACTTCAAATAGCTTTTTTTTTTTTTGAAAATTTTATTTGGGTTTTCACAAAAACAAAATACAAATAAAACATCTTTTTTGAAAATAGCATGGTCCCAGGTTATCACTTCTTCATACAGACACAAAACTCAATTTCATGCTCATTTTTATATTTTATTCCATATCTTATTACCATTTTATATTTTCTACATAGTTTTTCCCCTCTTCTAATTTTCTCAACTTTGTTTTAATTATCTCAATTCAAATCATTATATTTATACTTTTGTCTGTCCTGTTACAATTTCACATTATCTTTTCTTATTAAGCAAATTTTTCCCTGTATTTACCAATTAGAGTATGACACCTTTATATCCTTTAATTTTATCCATTCAAGCTCTTATTTAAGCTTCAATGTATAGCTTTAAGACTATAGCATTCAATATAATACATAACTTACCTCGAATTCTGCTTGGTACATTCTTAATCGAATTCTGCTTGGTACATTCTTAAAATAGACACTATATTCTTAAAAAGAAAAAATTATATATATATGTAAATAAAACACATTCCATTCCAATTCAATTCTATCATTAATATGCATTAAAATCTTAACATCTTTAACATTTCTTTTCAATTGAATATCATACTTCCTTGGGAACACTTATAAACTTTCCATAGTTAATTCTTTTTTTCCCCATATTTCTCACTTATATTTTTATAAATCATTACTAATAATTAAAAATGTTCCCTTTTAATTCTCTCAATCATTTTAATTCATTTATTTATTAACAAACATCCCACTGCATTACAATAAATATTTTATCCATCATCATATTTTCTAAAGTTATTTCTATTTGTAATATAACAAAGCTATCTTATGTACCTTTGCAGAATCCCTTTTACAATTAAATTTTCATCCATTATCTCTAAACAAACTTATGGTTACAATCCTTATATCTTTTCCCTGTTTCTCCATTTCTTGTTTCTGTCTTTTACAACTTCTTTTCCTTGCCTTCTTCCCCCTCTTCTTCTCCCTCCCTTTTTTACCCCCTCGTCTCTCTACTTCTAACTCTCTCATCTATAATCCCCTCTTCTGTTGCTTTCTAATATTATACTTATCTTTCAAATTGTTCTTCTTCTTTTTGGTTGTTTTTTCTAATCTTAAAGCTTTCACTCTCTTTCCTCCCCTTTTCTTTTTTCCCCCCACTTAAAATTATTTGATCATTAAAGATGGCTTCTTCTTTGTCCCAATCTTCTTGTTCTGCAGACGTTTCTTGTTGCTTCTCATAGTTCCAGATCTCCATTTCTAAGAATTGAAACACGAAGCCAAAAGAACTTCTCCCTTCTTGTGCGTCTTCTTTCCATTTTTAAAGTTCCGTTTTCAGTTCTTCTAAGAGTGATACCATTTTAAAAACTTTTAAACAACCACCCAGTTAATTTTAGTCATCAAGATGCAAAAACCAAAAATCACCAAGTAATCCAAATAACCCAAGGCTGTTTCTACTTGCTTCTTTTTTCCACTTTCTCTTCCTGGGGTTCTATTATTTTGTTAACAAGTTTCCATTAAAACGTATCTTTGAGGAATCTTGTTAAAATTTCACTGTAAGTTCCTTTTAATTACAGTTCCATTCCTTAATTCCAGGCAGTCTCCTCCATTTTTCCAGATCCTGCCCTTCTCCTTTCCAGCTTTTAAAAACTTTTAAATGTCCAGAAATCTTTATTATCCCTTTGACTTTTATTTTCAGCTTAGATGCCTATTAATGTCAAAGTGGATTTTTTTTTCAGTTTCTTGCTTAAGTCTCTTAGCTGTCAATATAAGGAAGGGAAGAAAATAAACCTAATCCTTTCACTTCTCTCTCTCCTTCGCAGCTTCAAAATCTTCTAACAATCTAATGTTGTTAAGTTTAAATTCCAGGGAACCTTATTTGTTGCTTTTGCTGTTTGATCCGGTCAACCAAAACTTTCTCTTCTTATCTTCCTCCTGCACATTCTTTTCTGGTCGAGTTCTTCTTTGTGGTGGCCATTTCTGACCACCGCTACAACCGCCTTCAGGAAAGGGAGTAATGGCCAGCTGGGGAGGAGAGATGCGGCTCTCCTCAACCCTGCAGGCAGTGTCCCCCCTCTTCACCACCTCTACGGGGTGGCTTAGCCCCAAAACCAGCCGGCTCGGGGCACTCCAGCGGCGAGCACGGATCGAAGCCTTGGAGAGACGAGGTTTCGGTCTGTTGCCGAAGAAGCTCAAACCGGAAGACTCATGACTTCAAATAGCTTTGAAAGACAGGATTGTGTACTATAAGCAAATAATGTGTAAAAACGATAAAGAAGAATTTTGTTGCAGTCGTTAACCTGCACATGGGAAATGAATATGTAAATATTCAAAGATGAATTGACAATGTCAGAATAGTGAAGTGAAATTCAAAGAATTTTGATTAAAAGCTATAACAAAAACAGAGAATCCTACTTGTTCCAATACTCACGTGCAATAAAAGAGAAACAATTAAGTTTAATTATCAGAGTAGTATAGGAATAGCACTTAGACTTATATACCCTTTTACAGTGCTTTACAGCCCTCTCTAAGTGGTTTACAGAGTCAGCATATTGCCCCCAATAATTTGGGCTGTTATTTTACCCGCCTCGGAAAGGTGGAAGGCTGAGTATAAGCTTTAAAATGGTAGCAGGTAAATGTAAAGAAGTAAAGCAATAAAATCAGCCAAAGAAATTCGAGACTATAACAAAATCAAATCAAATCAAATCAAACCTTTATTGTCAATGAACAACATGTGTACAATGAAATTGAATGAGCCTCCCTTGGTACAGCCCCCCCCCCCAAAAAAAACCCATGAAATACATCTCAAAATATGACAGAAGTGCCCTCAGGCTGCTTTGCTGTTTGCTGCTGCTGCCTCACGATGGTGTCATGTAACTTAGAGAGTGCTGTGCTAACATTTGCATCAGGTGGCATATAGACAGCGGTGATAACTATAACAGAAATCTCTCTAGATAATAGAATGGCTGACAAATGACAGTTTAGTATTCCACATCTGGAGAACAGTGTGTATAAGTAACTCTACTGTTAGTACACCAGTCATTATGTGTGTAAATATAAAGTCCACCACCTTTGCTTTTAATGGAGTTGCCATTTCTGTCAAAGTGGTGGGTGGTGCAATTAGTTAGCTCCACTGATGCATCCGGTACTAGTGGATGAAACCAGGTCTCTGTGATAATCATCACACAGCAGTTGCAAATAAGCTTATTCACTGCCATCCGTAGCTCTGGTTCATCAGTTTTGTTGACAAAAGCATCTAGCATTGATTAGAAAAATACTTGGTAATGCTGGTCTGTGAGGCTGCTTCCATAACCGAGCTCGCAAACCAGCTCTGCATCCCCACTTCTGTTTCCTCTCTCTTCGCTGTCAACATCGTTTTCCAGGCCCAACAATGATCCATGGAGAGCCTTGCAGTCTTACTCACTTGGTATGAGACTGCTGGAAGTCACTGGTAATATCTAGTCAACTAGAGAATCCAATCTTTAGTAACTCCTCACGGGTATAGACTAGGTTTTGCCCACTCACTCCATTGTAACACCAGGAGCCCAAGGCTGCAGCGGCTATGTAAGCCACCATCTTGGATGGAAAGATAACCTTCATTTATTGTCCCCTGTAAAATCTGAAAAGAGTGTAATATAGTAATTGATGTGGCAAGTGTACACCGAGATATAAACATCTTTAAATATCTGCCTTTATTACTCAAACATATCCAATACTCTTTCTTCCTCCTATTTTCCTCACAACAACAACCCTGTTAGGTGAGTTGAGCTGAGAGAGAGTGACTGGCCCAAGGTCATCTAGCTCAGTGGTTGCCAACCAGTAGGCTGGGGACCACTGGTGGTCTGTGAGAAAATTTTGGTGGTCCGCAGAGAAATGTCCCCCCAAAGCAATTAATCCAGGCTACATGGGAACACAAAGCTTGTGTTACTTGCATTGTGAACAACACGAGGTAGTGAGGGGAGGGGGAAAGGGCGGAAAGAACTTGCCCAATGCACCCCATGCACCT